TCCAGACAGATGTTCTTTATTAGTTAAGCTAAACTATTATTTGATTTAGGGAATACTATTGGTCTAAGGTGTAAAGATTATTTTAGGGTGGCAATAGTTTTAATTTCCATAGCTCCAGAAAGCTAGATTCTTTATGAATTTGAGAGTCTGTTTTTCACTTCTCCCAGTTTTTAATATTCTTTATACTATAGAATCCTTGATCTAAATGTTCAGTAATGCCCAGACACCACCTAATCTGATCTTGTGGCAAAGGAGGCAGTTAGCCACACATTCCATTTCCTCCTCAAATTTCTGACTCTAGCTTTTCCTCTGTTGCTACAGCTGAATAGACATCAGTTGTTGTGCCTTAGATGGCTAGTCACAAGAATTTAAGACTCCATACATTAGTAGTGACCTAGGAGGAGGTAGAACAAAATTGCTATACAGTTTATTAGGCCAGGTGGCTAGAATATCCCATGAAACCATGGCCTTAAACCTCCAAACCAAGGAACCAAATTCCATGAGTTGTTTGGTTGTACTAAGCCTCCACAGCTACTGCTTTTTGTTGTTATTATTGTAACTTTTGCCAATTCAACTTTTTGAATTAGTGTACAATTTGTTGACAGCAGTTACATTAATCAGCTGTTCAACTCTACTCTTGATCAATGCAATATTTTCATCACTGTAAACCAAAACTCAGTATGTAATTACCGTGTTCACATATAATTTTGCACATCTTTAAATATATTAGTAGAATTCTTAAGAGTGAACAAGTTAGAATAATGTAATTTTTAAATTTTAATAAATACTGCCAACTTTTATACTCTTGTTTATCAGTTTTTAATACACATTTTGACTTTCGTATTAGTATAATTAGATATCTTAGACCACTTCAACCACTGATGATACTTGCCTCATCCTGTATTACAGTTTTAGTTAAAACACTATTCAGTCTTTAGATTGCTTAAGTACATGACCCTGTATATTACTCAGTCCTGGTGTGGCATTGTGGGTTAATGTGCTGGACAGCAAAGCCAGTTTGAACTGCAAGGTTGGTGGTTCAAGCTCACCAGCCACTCCTTGGAAACCCTACACAGGGTTGCTATGGGTTGGAACCAACTCGACGACACTTACTAACAACAACAACAGGCACTGCTTTGTTCGGTTGTACATAGGATCTCCTACGAGTTTGAACCAACACAGTGGTACCTGGCAACACCAAAACATTGACTGGTCCTGTGCCATCCTCACAATCATTGGTACATTTGAACCCATTGCTGCTGCTGCAGTGCCAATCCATCTCGTTGGGGATCTTCCTCTTTTTTTACTGATCCTCTATTTGCCAAGCATGATATCCGTTTCCAGAGACTTGTCCCTCCTGATAATGTATCTGAATTATGAGAGACTCCTGGCTTCTAAAGAGCACTCTGACTATTCTTCTTCCCAACACAGACCTGTTTGTTCTTCTGGCAGTCACTGGTATCTTTGGTATTCTTTTCCAGCACCACAACTGAAATACATAAACTCTTCTGTGGTCTTTCTTATTCTTTGTCCAACTTTCACATGCATAGGAAGCTGTTTTAAATACCATGACTTGGGTCAGGCTTACCTTAGTCCTCAAACTGATATCTATTTTAAAAAGGCCTTGTCCAACAGATTTGTCTAAAGCCAAATTAAGTCTTTGACGACTTCAGCCATGTAACCATTTAACATGCTGTTATTTATTGGTCCAGTTGTGAGGATTTTTGTATTCTGTACATTGAGGTACAAACTCACACTAAAGGTTGTAGTCTTTGATTCTTCATCAGTAAGTATTTCAAGACCTCGCCTCTTTCAGCAAGCAAATATGGATCTGCATATTACAGGATATTAATGAGTTTTCTTCCAATCCTTATGCCACATTCATCCTCATATAATTCCATCTTCTTGGATTGTTTGCTCAGAATTTAGATTGAATAAGTATGGTGGAAGAATACAACCTTGGCACACACCTTTGCTAATTTTAAACCATTCAGTGTTTCCTTGTTCTGTTTGAACCACTGCATCTTGATCTATGTACAGGTTCCTCAAGCACAATTAAGTGTTCTGGAATGCTCATTTTCTTCAGTATTGGCCATAGCTTATCATGATCCACACAATTGAAAGCCCTTGCATCGTCAGTAAAGCAAAGGTAAACATCTTTCTGGTATTCTCTGCTTTCAGCCAAGATCTATCTGATGTCAGCAATGGTATCCCTAATTCC